GGTTCAGAAGCTTAGGCCGCACCATCTTGGTATTCATAAAATGCAATTATGGTGATAAGATTGCCAGACAACTAGAAACTTCTTATAAATTGATGAAATGTTCGCAAAAATTGCACGAGATTCATCATTGTAGATAATTATTTTTCATTATACTCCTACTACTCTAAGTAACAAGGTGTTAATTATCTATATTTAATTTTTGCCTGAACATACATATGCGAAGAAAAGTTGGGTTTCGAGGAATGTCTTGTTTCCTTATTGTTGAGCTTACTTCCATTTCGAGTGAGTGTTGGGTTAATAGATTCGAAGGTCGGTTCCACCAGAAGACGACGACATATTCCTCTTGACCATCTGTCGATCGGCTTCACTGGAAAATTCATGCTGACGCTGTTTCCGAGGTAATCTCCTTCGATTCCGGTGAAAAGATGATAAGCTTTCGTCTGTCATATGAGCAACATCATCAGAGTCAAGAGCAATACTCGAGTCTTGCCACACAACTTATAAGAATTTAAAATTGAATATAACCAAAAATTAGCAGTTTTCCTTGGCTACATGCATAAAAAACGCAAAATTTAAGTCATCAGCTTCCTTCATTATTTACAATTTTTAGACACCCCTCTTATGAACGTTAGGGAGACCGCAAGCCGTAAGGGCCCTGGAATCCTTCTGGATTAACTCATCTTCCACTTCTCCATTTTACCATTACTTAGGCCTGCTTAGTAATGTGTTAGTACCATTTAACTGAACGGACGCTTTTCTATATAACCTTAACTCTCGAAACCCTACTCTTATACGAATATAACTTTAACTAGCCATGACTAACCATGCTCCACCTTTGTCGGCTTTCATAACGAGTAAATTATTGTCATATAAATATCTAGAAAGCCTACTAAGCATACACGCTTTCTTTGGAGGGGTTATATAGTTAAAAATAAGTGATCACCTTGACCTCAATACTATTATTTGCCACCTCAGACAATCTATTCATCCAAACCCAGTTACGCTTCTAACTAACGATCATTCCCAGAGTACTATTTATCTGAATTATGCAGTAGCAAAAGATGTTATGGCTACTATGAATGGAATATGCTTTAGGCAACATAGGAACCAGGGGATATATTACATCATTGGTTATTTAGAAATTGCAAATTCAAAACGTACTTTATTTAATCGGTTACTTCGCATTTAGCAATTCTAATTAGTGAACCTGGCGATATGAACTCAATTCATCTGCCTCTCAAAGTTAGTATGATAAAAGGTTTCTGTCTAGTTAAGCTTAAGAGAGAAATAACTAGGCAATGCCCATTATTTTTCGTTCATAAATAGGGTTTCGAGACTACCAGTTAATCGGTTAAATGAGATGCATTCATCTTATTTGTTTAAGGTGATAAAGGACTGGTAGTTGAATTATCCTGCAATGATATAAATAGAGCTGACGTTTCCAGTGAATTTAACATTGCCTTACCTTCCCAAGAGGTATCGAGAGATAGTCGATTATAACCCCCCTAAATATTTATATAAAAAATCTGTTAATGAAATGAGGCATCCTATGATTAATGAACTCAGAAGTTACTCATACTTTGGGCCAT